CCCAGGGATGACCACCTCCCACTGTATATACCCAGGGATGACCACCTCCCACTGTATATACCCAGGGATGACCACCTCCCACTGTATATACCCAGGGATGACCACCTCCCACTGTATATACCCAGGGATGACCACCTCTCACTGTATATACCCAAGGATGACCACCTCCCACTGTATACCCAGGGATGACCACCTCTCACTGTATATACCCAGGGATGACCACCTCTCACTATATATACCCAAGGATGACCACCTCCCACTGTATATACCCAGAGATGACCACCTCCCACTGTATATACCCAGGGATGACCACCTCCCACTGTATATACCCAGGGATGACCACCTCCCACTGTATACACCCACGGATGACCACCTCCCACTGTATACACCCAGGGATGACCACCTCCGACTGTATACACCCAGGGATGACCACCTCCCACTGTATACACCCAGGGATGACCACCTCCCACTGTATACACCCAGGGATGACCACCTCCCACTGTATACACCCAGGGATGACCACCTCTCACTGTATATACCCAGGGATGACCACCTCACTGCATATACCCAAGGATGACCACCTCTCACTGTATATACCCAAGGACGACCACCTCTCACTGTATATTCCCAGGGATGATCACCTTCCACTGTATATACCCAGGGATGATCGCCTCCCACTGTATATACACAAGGATGACCGTCTCCCACTGTATATACCCAGGGATGACCGCCTCCCACTGTATATACCCAGGGATGACCTCCTCCCACTGTATATACCCAGGGATGACCTCCTCCCACTGTATATACCCAGGGATGACCGCCTCTCACTGTATATACCCAGGGATGACCGCTCTCACTGCATATACCCAGGGATGACCGCCTCTCACTGCATATACCCAGGGATGACCGCCTCTCACTGTATATACCCAGGGATGACCGCCTCTCACTGTATATACCCAGAGATGACCGCCTCTCACTGTATATACCCAGGGATGACCGCCTCTCACTGTATATACCCAGGGATGACCGCCTCTCACTGTATATACCCAGGGATGACCGCCTCTCACTGTATATACCCAGGGATGACCGCCTCTCACTATATATCCAGGGATGACCGCCTCTCACTGTATATACCCAGGGATGACCGCCTCTCACTGTATATACCCAGGGATGACCGCCTCTCACTGTATATACCCAGGGATGACCGCCTCTCACTGTATATACCCAGGGATGACCGCCTCTCACTGTATATAGAGCGAAACACCAACGTCAAAGACCTGGGAGTGATCATGTCGGAGGATCTCACCTTCAAGGACCATAACATTGTATCAATCGCATCTGCTAGAAAAATGACAGGATGGATAATGAGAACCTTCAAAACTAGGGAGGCCAAGCCCATGATGACACTCTTCAGGTCACTTGTTCTATCTAGGCTGGAATATTGCTGCACACTAACAGCACCTTTCAAGGCAGGTGAAATTGCCGACCTAGAAAATGTACAGAGAACTTTCACGGCGCGCATAACGGAGATAAACACCTCAATTATTGGGAGCGCTTGAGGTTCCTAAACCTGTATTCCCTGGAACGCAGGAGGGAGAGATAATGATTATATACACTGGAAAATCCTAGAGGGACTAGTACCGAACTTGCACACAAAAATCACCCCAACTACGAAAGCAAAAGACTTGGCAGACGATGCACACATCCCCCCAATGAAAGCAGGGGTGTCACTAGCACGTTTAAGAGACCATACAATAAGTGTCAGGGGCCCGAGACTGTTCAACTGCCTCCCAGCACACATAAGGGGGATTACCAACAGACCCCTGGCAGTCTTCAAGCTGGCACTGGACAAGCACCTAAAGTCAGTTCCGGATCAGCCGGGCTGTGGCTCGTATGTTGGTTTGCGTGCAGCCAGCAGCAACAGCCTGGTTGATCAGGCTCTGATCCACCAGGAGGCCTGGTCTCAGACCGGGCCGCGGGGGCGTTGACCCCCGGAACTCTCTCCAGGTAAACTCCAGGTAATATACCCAGGGATGACCGCCTCTCACTGTATATACCCAGGGATGACCGCCTCTCACTGTATATACCAGGGATGACGCCCCTCTCACTGTATATACCCAGGGATGACCGCCTCTCACTGTATATACCCAGGGATGACCGCCTCTCACTGTATATACCCAGGGATGACCGCCTCTCACTGTATATACCCAGGGATGACCGCCTCTCACTGTATATACCCAGGGATGACCGCCTCTCACTGTATATACCCAGGGATGACCGCCTCTCACTGTATATACCCTGGGATGACCGCCTCTCACTGTATATACCCAGGGATGACCGCCTCTCACTGTATATACCCAGGGATGACCGCCTCTCACTGTATATACCCAGGGATGACCGCCTCTCACTGTATATACCCAGGGATGACCGCCTCTCACTGTATATACCCAGGGATGACCGCCTCTCACTGTATACCCTGGGATGACCGCCTCTCACTGTATATACCCAGGGATGACCACCTCTCACTGTATATACCCAGGGATGACCACCTCTCTCTGTATATACCCAGAGATGACCACCTCTCACTGTATATACCCAGGGATGACCACCTCTCACTGTATATACCCAGGGATGACCACCTCTCACTGTATATACCCAGGGATGACCACCTCTCACTGTATATACCCAGGGATGACCACCTCTCACTGTATATACCCAGGGATGACCACCTCTCACTGTATATACCCAGGGATGACCACCTCTCACTGTATATACCCAGGGATGACCACCTCTCACTGTATATACCCAGGGATGACCACCTCTCACTGTATATACCCAGGGATGACCACCTCTCACTGTATATACCCAGGGATGACCACCTCTCACTGTATATACCCAGGGATGACCACCTCTCACTGTATAAACCCAGGGATGACCACCTCTCACTGTACATACCCAGGGATGACCACCTCTCACTGTACATACCCAGGGATGACCACCTCTCACTGTATATACCCAGGGATGACCACCTCTCACTGTATATACCCAGAGATGACCACCTCTCTCTGTATATACCCAGGGATGACCACCTCTCTCTGTATATACCCAGGGATGACCACCCCTCTCTGTATATACCCAGGGATGACCACCTCTCTCTGTATATACCCAAGGATGACCACCTCTCTCTGTATATACCCAGGGATGACCACCTCTCTCTGTATATACCCAGGGATGACCACCTCTCTCTGTATATACCCAGGGATGACCACCTCTCTCTGTATATACCCAGGGATGACCACCTCTCACTGTATATACACAGGGATGACCGCCTCTCACTGTATATACCCAGGGATGACCACCTCTCACTGTATATACACAGGGATGACCACCTCTCACTGTATATACACAGGGATGACTACCTCTCACTGTATATACCCAGGGATGACCACCTCTCACTGTATATACCCAGGGATGACCACCTCTCACTGTATATACCCAGGGATGACCACCTCTCACTGTATATACCCAAGGATGACCACCTCTCACTGTATATACCCAGGGATGACCACCTCTCACTGTATATACCCAGGGATGACCACCTCTCACTGTATATACCCAGGGATGACCACCTCTCTCTATATATACCCAGGGATGACCACCTCTCTCTATATATACCCAGGGATGACCACCTCTCTCTGTATATACCCAGGGATGACCACCTCTCTCTGTATATACCCAGGGATGACCACCTCTCTCTGTATATACCCAGGGATGACCACAAATAATATTGTTGCAGTAATAACACCAGGAGGCAGCTCTGATGAAAACTCACACTCACACGAGCTGTTAAATCTCTGCACAAAACTCAATTTAAACCAGCAAATAATAGAGCCTACTAGACTGGAGAATACACTAGACCTCATCTTCACTAACAATGATGATCTGATACGAAATGTCACCATGTCAAAAACAATATACTCAGATCACAACATAATTGAGGTTCAGACATGTATGCGTGGAGCCCCAGACCGACATAATGAGATTAGTCACGAGGGAGCATTCACCAAATTCAACTTCAATAACAAAAACATAAAGTGGGACCAAGTAAACCAAGTCCTAACCGATATAAGCTGGGAAGATATACTAAGCAACACAGACCCCAACTTATGCCTAGAACAGATTAACTCGGTGGCACTCGATGTATGCACAAGGCTTATTCCTCTAAGAAAAAGGAGGAGTAGATGTAAAATAGAAAGAGATATGCGCTCCCTTTACAGGCGAAGGAAAAGAATAACAGAGCGGCTAAAAGAGGTCAATGTATCTGTAATACGTAGGGAGACACTGGTCAGAGAAATAGCAAGCATCGAACTTAAGCTAAAGGAATCTTATAGGAGTCAGGAATCGCGGGAAGAACTAAAAGCCATAAATGAAATCGAAAGAAACCCAAAGTATTTCTTCTCCTATGCCAAATCAAAGTCGAGAACAACGTCCAGTATTGGGCCCCTACTTAAACAAGATGGGTCCTACACAGATGACAGCAAGGAAATGAGTGAGCTACTCAAGTCCCAATATGACTCAGTTTTTAGCAAGCCGCTAACCAGACTGAGAGTCGAAGATCAAAATGAATGACCAGGGATGACCACCCCTCACTGTATATACCCAGGGATGACCACCCCTCACTGTATATACCCAGGGATGACCACCTCTCACTGTATATACCCAGGGATGACCACCTCTCACTGTATATACCCAGGGATGACCACCTCTCACTGTATATACCCAGGGATGACCACCTCTCACTGTATATACCCAGGGATGACCACCTCTCACTGTATATACCCTGATCTATTACGAGCTGCAGACGAGTGGAAGTGTCACTACTTAATGGATGGACGAGTGTAGGACTCGCTTAGCATGTTTACCACATACCAGACAAAATATTCAATCATTCAAGCCTCTCGGCCATTACTAGGTGTGTCAAGGGTTGTCAGGTATATTACCAGGGGTACGGTGAGAAGCAGGTTAGTGTAGAGAGACCGTCCCTACAGACGCCATCCTCGCCTACACCACAACAATGGCCGCCGTTCGATTCTCAATCATGTTTACATGTTGCTTATATGTCAGAAAAGCTCTCATAAATCTTATTTTCTGTTGCAATTGTTAATTAAATATACGGTCATTATTTTAAAAATTTCGCTATTATGCAAACATTATTTTTTTTTAAAGTTCATTCGAGCTTCCGTTAACATAGGAATATCAGGAGTGCCAACCATACATTTCGTACTCATCAGTTATTTATTTATTTATTTAATTATTTAATGTCTTTGCAAGCAGTACATTGAGATTGTGTATATACAATAGTGGTTTGCAATGCAAAGAGAGCCTCTATTATGCCTTGGCATTTCATCTTTATAATGTGGGCAGACTATTGTTAATGAAAACTAAGCACAAGATTACCAATAAATTTCATTAGCTTTTAGTTAATAAATTTGTAAAAAATAAAAAATATAAAATGAATCTATTTATTAAAATTTTTTACACCACATTGTGGCCACTCTGATACATGTAACATGACATTTTTCAAGGTTAGATATTAGGTTAGATGTTACTTTAGAAATAATGGCATTAATAATCTTTATCCATCCATGTCTTGCATCTCATTAATTTAATACAGATATTGTGTGGTTAGAATATAAATATATAGGTGCATCTAAACGCAGTGGCAACTCGTTCGGCTCACAATAGAATATACCCAGGTCGAATCCCGGGCGAGGCGATATATATACGCAGGTAATGCGTGCTTGCTCCCTCAGCTCACATACCGAGATCCGTGGTTCGATCCCCGGTACGGGTGGAAACATTGGGACGCATTTCCTTAAGAACATAAGAACATAAGAAAGGAGGAATACTGCAGCAGGCCTGTTGGCCCATACTAGGCAGGTCCTTTACAATTCATCCCACTAACAAACATTTGACCAACCCAATTTTCAATGCTACCCAAGAAATAAGCTCTGATGTGCAAGTCCCACTCAAATCCAACTCCTCCCACTCATGTACTTATCCAACCTAAATTTGAAACTACCCAAAGTCCCAGCCTCAATAACGCAACTAGGTAGACTGTTCCACTCATCAACTACCCTATTGCCAAACCAATACTTTCCTATGTCCTTTCTAAATCTAAAATTATCTAATTTAAATCCATTACTGCGGGTTCTCTCTTGGAGAGATATCCTCAAGACCTTGTTAATATCCCCTTTATTAATACCTATCTTCCACTTATACACTTCGATCAGGTCTCCCCTCATTCTTCGTCTAACAAGTGAATGTAACTTAAGAGTCTTCAATCTTTCTTCATAAGGAAGATTTCTAATGCTGTGTATTAATTTAGTCATCCTACGCTGAATGTTTTCTAACGAATTTATGTCCATTCTGTAATGTGGAGACCAGAATTGAGCTGCATAATCTAGGTGATGCCTTACTAATGATGTATAAAGCTGCAGTATGACCTCTGGACTTCTGTTGCTTACACTTCTTGATATAAATCCCAGTAATATATTTGCCTTATTACGTACACTTAGGCATTGCTGTCTTGGTTTAAGGTTGCTGCTTACCATAACCCCCAAGTCCTTTTCGCAATCTGTATGGCTAAGTTCTACATTGTTGTTAGGTAAGACACATATGCAACAGTTAGGTATCTTTATTTTGAAACGTTTCGCCTACACAGTAGGCTTCTTCAGTCGAGTACAGAAAAGTTGATAGAAGCAGAAGAGACTTGAAGACGATGTAATCAGTCCATCACCCTTAAAGATTTGAGGTGGTCAGTCCCTCAG